GCCGGATCCACCCGGCTTCGCCGCCTCCCCATGCAGCCAGCGCCAGCGTTCTTCGGATCGCCCGCCACCGCCCAGGGCCCAGCCACCAATCGCCGCACAGACCCGGACCCGCCTCCACAGCCCTGGCCCAATGAGGGTTACCCTTAGCATTTGAGTGAGGTCTCTTCCGCTCCGTTCAGCGGCAGTTCTGACCGCTTGACTTGGTGGGGGGGTGGGGAGAGACACCGCCCAGAACCCACCAATCAGCGCTTCGCGCCACTGGTCACCTAGCAATCGAGGGGCGGGCTCTGCAAACGCCCGGAAGCGCGCACGCGCAGTTGGCATGGTCCACGCGAGGCCATCCGCCACTCGGCCAGCAGGGAGCGCCTGGGCTCTCCGCTGAGACCCGAGTGGGAGTGGGGGACAAGGGTGCGCTCCGCCAGCTCCACCTGTTCAGCCCCCGCAAGTGAGTGTAGGCCCCGCAGAGCACCTCGGCCAACCTCTCCTGGTCCGGACTTCCTGCTCCCCGCGGTCCCGCGCTGCGGCCTTCTCGCTAAGTTAGGGCAGCCTCCGCGCCGGGCGGCACAGCTAGAAGTTCTCCCACATCTCGTCCAGAAAGCGGAAGGCGCGCGGGAGAGATCGGGTCACGGCGCCGGGAGCGAGACTCGTGAGTTGCGAATACGCGGTTACTGGGGAGTTTGTGACTCGTGCGTGCCCCAGATGAGGCAGTGCCCGTGGGCGGGAAGGGGGTGCAAAGAGGCCTGGAGCCTCCCCGGATGCCCTATCCTGGCCGCGGTCACACCCAGGAACAGCCTTCCTGGGGACCCCGCCGCTACCTCCTCCGCCTCGGCCTCAGTACTTTCCTCCTCCAGGAAGCACCCACCAGGGGCCTCCTGCACCGCCTTGGGGTCCCCACACCAGCAGGCCGTTCCTCCCTCCTTTGCCCACCCCGCGCTGAGCTGAGCTGAGCTTCAGTGGGCACTGGACCCAGCTGGACCCAGCCTACTAGCCTACTGCCCTCCTGGCCAGGCCTTCCCCCCTCTCTGCCTTCCAGGTGCCAAAGTCTGCTCTGCTCTGCCCCGCCCCCGTCACACCCCTCTCCTCCTGGGTCCAGGCCAACTCTACTTTTACCCTCCACTAGGCAATGGAGGCCTCTCTGGTCACGTGGCGCTCACACCTGAGCCTTCAGGATAGAGAGAGACAGCCTTCCTCAGCACCTGTGGTGTTCCCTCCAGACCTGTGCACCTGCCCTGCCTCCAGCCTGGTGTGCTGTTCCGCACCTGACGGCTGGCTGACCTGCTCTTCCGGCAGGCCTCACCCCTAAGCTCCCCAAGTCTAGCGTGGGTTTCGAACTACATGCGGGCAGAAGTGGGAAAGGGCCAAGGGGGACAAGCGGGGAGCCTTGGTCAGCTCTGCCCCTCGCCTGCGTAGGGCAGCGTTCCTTGGGTCCACTTCACGCCCTGTAGTGGCCGCTCTTGCCACCAGGTGTCACTGGGTCTCAGTCTTCGAGCCTCCCGCTCCTGTGCGCTGGCTAGGTGCTGGCTAGGTCGTACCAGGAACCCAGGTCTCACCTTTAGCGCCCTCTGCCCCTCCCCTGCCCCAGCCCATCTGCCCATCTCTGGGGACTCTGAATCACTGGCTCAAATGCACTTTCTCCGCCCTGGGTGGCCCCACACTGCGTCCAGCTTGGGCCTGCGTACATTTAATCAGGCCGAAGTGGGGCACCGACCAGGCAAGAGAGCAGCCCTGGGCTCTGTGGGCCAACCGAGGAGCCAGGGTGGAGACAGGACAGTCCAGTCAGCTGCTGCCTGAGCCGCCAACAGAGTTTCCAGGAAGCCAGCACTCAGCCAGGCACCAGGCCACAGGTGAGCCCCCGCACAGCACACTGGCAGAGGCAAATGTGGGGCGGGGTCCTGGACCACCGGCTGGGCCATGCTCACCCCTGCAGACATGGCCTGGTCTGGCTGCTGGGGGGAATGGAGAGGAGGGTGGGGTGGCAGGAAGTGGGAAGGGGCAGGCCACAGCTCCCCCAAAGCTTCTGAAAAACGGAACTCCAGGGCCTGCAGCCGATTCAGGTTCTGACTACTCGGGCTCTTCCCCAGCCCCACCCAGGCCAGGCCGACAGCCCTGCAGACCCTCTGGCCTCAGACTGCAGGCTTCTCACCCATCCCAGACCTGCGCACCCCTGCAGGCCCGGAAGTGGAGAGGCAGGTCTGAGAGCCCAGGGCTCTCTGGGCGGGCTGGACTCTTGCCCGAAGAGGGGCCCAGCCTGTAGTGGGCTTCAAAGGCTACCCAGGGGAGTGGGCAGCAGAGACCCTGCAGGAAGGTCCAGGGGCCCAACCATTCTCTGGACACACGAGGAGAGCACGGGCACACACACAGGTCTTCCATGTGATCGGTTTATTGAGAACACAAGGGGCTACCAGGGAGCCCGGGGTCCGGGTGAGGCCTGGCATCCACAGTGGCACAGTGGCGGCCGGGCATGGGGTCTCCACCACCTGTGCAGAGAGACAAGGTCTGCTGTGGGCGCAGCCTTGCACCAGACCCCGCCCCAGTGCAGGGTCCCCACCCTGAGAGCAAGGTGGGCTGGCAGGAGTGGGGTTGTACCTGGCTTTACTTGAAAGTGTGACTCTCAGCTCCTCCCCGCCCAAAGCCTGCAGAGAGAATAGGTTCAGTAGGCAGGATGGCCCTGGGGGGCGCGGCGGGCGGGGAAGGGAACCTGGGAGCCTACCTTTGGGCCCGAACATGGCGGAGTAGCAGGGGTGGTTGCAGTAGGGCTTGCCTTCGTGCTGCACAGAGAGGGGCGGTGGAGAGAAGAATGTGAGGGGCAAGCCTTCAGTGCCCCCTGCCGCCCCCGGCCCCACCTACCTCAGCGTGGCCCCCTGATGTCAGCGTCTTCCCACACTTCTCACACTTGAGGCAGGGCCGATGCCAGTCCTTGCCCAGGGAGGTCACTCGCTCAGCTGCAAATGCAGAGTCCACTAAGACCTGCCCTGGGGAGCCAGACCCCAGAGGGCACGCCCCGCCCAGGCCCACTCCACCACCGGGCAGTCTCGGCGGGCAACCCCTGTGCCACGGGTGGGGGCACCTCCAGTCCCCTCCAGCCAATCCCGCCAAACAGACCGAAGGGTCACTGGCCTTAGGCCGTGCCCTGCGGTCTGAATGGAGCTGGGGGACGGGGGACGGGGCGCCCCGGAGCCCGAGGCCAGGCAGCCCGGAGTGACCAGTGACCGGGCGGGGCCTGCGGGCCACGGGCCAGGGGACTTCCCCCTTCCTCAAGTCCCTCCCCTGGGTGGGCCCGGGGCGCGCGGGGCAGGAAGGCGGGCGCCCGGGATTTGAGCGCGCCCCGTGCTCGCGCCCTGGCGCCCTGAGCGTCGGTTTCCGCGTCTGTCTCTACTTAGCGCTGGAGGAGCGGCCTCAGCCCCGCGTTGCTTCCTAGCCCGCGGGGTCCCCGCCCAGGGCGCGCCCTAGAGGAGGCGGGAGACTGCGGGGCCCGCGGGGCAGGGCCAGAGAGAGTAGAGCAGAGAGATGTTTCCGCCATCCGACACAGGGGTCCCCACCCTCACGCCCAGGCAACCACGGGAAGGCTGGAAGGCCCTCTCCTCGGCCGCTCCCAGTGGCCCCTGGAGTCCCTGGCCCACCTGAACGGCCCCCCGCCCTGTCGGGCCGCGCGCAGAGATGGGCCGGGTGGGCGCACTCACCGAAGTACACCTCCTTGTCGCACTTCGGACACTTGGGCATGGTGGCGCCGGGGTTGGGTCAGCAGCAGAGACTGTTGCGTGCGGTTGGCGCGAGACTGGGTGGGTCCCGCCGGGTCTGCGCCTTTCAGGGACCCCGGGATCCCGCCCCCTCGAGGTCCCGCCCCCAGAGCCCCGCCCCCTAGTCGGGAACTTGGACCCCGGGAACCTCGGCTCCCGGCCTACGGGTCGGGTCAAGAAAGGTCATCTGGTCCACCCGTGCTTTCGGGCAGGTCCCAAGCCTGCCGAAAGACCGAACTGGGGACGAACCGTGAGGACTCGGGGATCTCTCCGGCGGGTTCAAGCCCCGCCTCCCGCCTAGGCTCTGAAGTCACCGCGGGCCAGGATTTCCGCAAGGGGCTCCCCCCAGAGGGAAGGCGTGCCCCAGCCCCGAATCCCTGTCTGCGGAGCCAGGGATAGGACGGGTCCCTTTCGACGTGCAGATGCGTGGGAATCAGCCCGCGACAGCTCTTCCCCACACTTTGGTCCTGCCCTTCCCCAGATCCGGGTTGGGACGCCGAGGGTCAGCTTGAGTCCCCTACTCGGAACAGCGGCCTCCTGCACAAGCCGCCCGCAGGAATCACTGCCCCCCCGTCACTCTCGGGGAAGTTAACACACGCAGCGGAACGACCCTGGGGAAATTCAGAAGAGGGGGACTCCGGAGCGCCCCCCCCCCGCAGAGCTAAACTGAGGGGAGATGGCCGGATGGCGGCGGAGCTGGGGCGCTTTGCTGGGCTGGGCGAGTGAGGGTGTGGCCACGCCCCGGCCGTGGCCGCGATGCGAGAGAGGGGATCCTTATCTCTGCGCGAAGTGCCGGTCGGAGGCCGCCCCAGACCGCTGCCCAGGGAAGGCACAGGCTGGCTCCCGCCTCCTAGGTGCCAGGCACGCGCCCAGGCGACTACGAGCTCCAAACAGAGGGGAGGGGGCTGCGCTGGACAAGAAGGACCTCGGGGCTGCTGGTGCTGCCCTCTGGCCTCAGCCACAGGCAGGCCTCCCGTCTGTCCCTGAGCCCAGGCCTGGCCTGGGTAGGGTCCTATACTCCTTAACTCGCAGCCTGGGCGGCCCCTAGCCCAGCCTTCTGTGTAGCGTAGCTCCTGTCAGTCAGGACACCCTGCCCTCCCCTCCCAGCTAGGTGGAGGCAGCCTGCTCTCTGCAGACCCTGCGCCTTGGTGCCTGGGGTGGCTTCGCCCTAAGCCACCAGAGCATGGTCCTCCTGCCCTTCCTGCAGCCCACCTCCCTGTTAGCATCATCCCCATTCTCAGCTCCCTTCAACACACCCATCTCGAAAACAAAGCATCACAGGGCCTGTCAGCTGTCAGACCCTGCCCCACAGAGGCTGCTGGACACTGCCTCCTGGACCTGGAGCCCCTTCCTCCACCCTCCCACTACGCCCAAGCCCTGGCTGCACCTGCTCAGCTTCCCCCAATCTGGCCCACCGGTCAGGTCTGTGACAGGGGAGGGAGCCCACGCATCTGCAGAGTCCGGCCTGTCCCACCAGCCTGGGCCAGTGTAGGGCCCTCTGGGTCCAGCAGAGGGGTCATACTCCAGAGGGCCACGCCAGAGCTGACCCTCCTGCAGGGCCCACAGGGACCCTCCGCCCGGCCTGAGCCCCTCAGCGGCCACGGCTCCCGAAGTCGGGTACACCCATGCCCTGCAGGGCAGGGTCTAGTCTCTAGCCTGCAGAGCCCTCAGGTGCACTGTGGTCTGGGCTGGCTGCCCCTACCCCCGTGCAGGCATCATGGTGCCATTTCTACCCCCACCACTGCCCACACCAGACCCTGGCCTCCCCCGGGCCTGTCCGATAGCCAGGCCTCCCGGGACAGTGGGGACCTCTGCTCCTGGCTCCATGACAGAGTCAGGAATGAGAGGGACTAGCCCACAGCGAGCAGGGTCAAGGCCAGGGAGGGCCCAGGTCAGTGTTGGGGAGGTGGGTCTTTGTTCCCCCAGGTCTGGGGCAGGGGCATGCACCACCCAGCTTCGCCTCAGTGCCCAGCTAGGGCACACCCCGAGGGCCTGCCTCCACCTCCTGGCTGTGGTGCCCAGGTACCAGGGACAGCCAGGGGCCTTCAGACCTGTCAGACATCTCGGGGGGAGGGGGGGATGTGCATGTGAGGTGCCCAGCCACCTGGAAAGGGAGAGTGATAGCCTGTCCTTGTCCTCTCCTCTCCCCACCCCTCCTAGGATGGCCCCTGCCCCGCGTTCTAGACTCCAGCCTGCCCTGCCGGGTGAGGGGGGAGCCGCCCTTGACAGCTGGGGTGATGAGTCTCTTCCTGGCGCCTTCCCCTGTGTTTCCCGTTGCCATGGTCACGGGGGGGGGGAAGGACTGCCAAGGGGGCCAAGGCCGTGGGGCCCCACCCTCTGTGCCTACAGGCAGTTTTCCAGACGTTCGACTTGGATGCACATGCTCACAATGCACACACAAACTCACAGGCCCACACATGGACTCACATGGACACACACTCAGGTACACGTGGCTATACGCTCATAGACACACTCACATGGACACACACTCAGACACACAGATGCACCCAGGCATACGCTCACGGAAACTCACACTCACACTCTACACCCTCATAGACACACCCATGGACACACACACCATGCACACAACCTCCGGCTCTCCCAAAGCTGTGACCACACTGAGGGGCCCCAACTCCCCCTCTCCCGGGTCCCCAGCCTGCAGGCAGTTGCTCCCAGTCCCTCCCTCCCCTCGACTCCTGGCAGGCCCCCTTCCTACCTAGGCTAGCTGTGCACCAGGCTCCCCAGGCCCGGCCGCGGTGCTGCCCAGGACGGAGCTTGGGGGTGGCACACTGACCTGGCCAAGCGCCAGCCTGACCGAGACCACGGGCCAGCCAAGAGCCCACCCCTCCTGTCTCGCCCAGCTGCCAGTCCGCCTGCTCTGTGCCCGGCCTGTTCTGCCCTTGCCCCGCCCGGTGTGGGGCACCCCAGGAGCCTGAGGTGGGGGAGGAGCCTCCAGTCCACACACCCTTGCGCCTGCAACCTGCCCGGCTTGGTCCAGCTCGACCGCCCCCAGAACAGAGCGGCCCACATGTGGGACCCTGCGGCCAGGCTGGAACTCTGGGCGCCTGGATAACCACACCAGGCCGGGCTGACCGCTAAGGAATCTCACCATCCACTCCCACTGCCAAGTTCCGCTCCCACTGGGGCTGGCTCTGGCAGGCCCTCACGCCCCATTCTCCAAGCCTCGCCCTGCCCAGTCCTGGGCTCAAGGCCCCGCCCTGGTGTGCGCAGCGGAGCGTGCCTACAGGTGTAGACGTTCACTCCAGGGCTGGAGGCCTGCAGCCAGCCTCGGGTCTGACCCAACACCCCCCCCTTCCCCCCGCAGGTGCCAGCCTTGCTAAAAGCAGCTCCAGAGAAACCTGCTGAGCCTCCAGCTCGGCCTCCCCAGGGTCCACACTCCAACCCTGCCCAGCCTCTGAGTTCCCAGGGCCTATTTTCAGCAGCTTCTCTCCAGGGACCCCAGCTCTGCCTAAAGTCTGGCCCCAGGGTGGGCCTGCTGGGCCCAACTGCCCCGAGGTGGAATGTCAGGTTTTCACAGGCTCCTCCTGGCCTCTGGCCTCCCCTTCCAGCCCAGGTGGGAGGGGCTGGGCTATCCCTGCCAGGAGGGGGTAGGGTGTAGGCAACGGGGCTCCCTCACCAGCCGTTCCCTGACAGAGTGCACCCCTACCTGGGGTCCATACTCTGCCCAATTGTGGTCATGTCCCCAGCCCAAGTGAGACAGGCAGGGGCCATCCGGAGCTGGGTGGGCTTCGGAGCGAGGGCACAGGACTGGGATGGCTGCCGGGGAACCTGGGCAGGGGGTGCGGGGGTCTGGGTGTAGCCGGAGGACTTGAGACTCAGGGAAGCTGAGAGCCAGGAGCTGCACTGCACCCCCGCACCCAGCCCAGGTTGGGGTCTGCCTTGACATGCAGAGCGGTTGGACCTGGGGTGAGGGAGGAGTCAGCACAGCCCGGCTTTGTAAGCTGGACCTGGCCTCCTGGGTGTCTGGACTTGGGTCCCCGGGGTCCTGAAGTGGGCACAGTGGGCACATGGCATTTCAGAGGCTGCTCCTGACTGGGCGTGGGTCAAAGGGCGCAAGGCCGAGGCCACAGCTGCCTCCCAGGGAGGGGCCCTGAGGCAGGTCACCCGGGAACAAAAGCCCACTCCTGCACCTCCACCACCTTGGAGTGTCAGGACTGTGGCCCAAGGAAGCACTGGGTGGGGGAGGCCCTGGAGCCGGTGCCGCCCAGGGTGTCCCACACTCCGGGAAGACTGAGACAAACAGTAGCCGCTCCGCCCTGGTTTCCATGACAACCCCTGGGCAACAAACACTGCTGGGCTTCCGTCATCCTCTGCAGGAAATGAGGCAGGCCCTGCCTCCGCCAGACCTGGAAGCAGGCCGTCCAGGCAGGGTGGAGGGGAGACCCCTGCCCCCACTAGGCACAAGCAGCCCTCCACACCAGGGCTTTTGGAAACATAGTTTCCACCAGAGGCTCCCCAGGGAGGGAGCCTGGAAGAATTTCCAGCCAACAAGGGGAGCCAACAGGGAGGTGGGGGTGGGGTGCTCCCCCAAACCGCCGCACCAGGGAGCCTTGGCCTGGCGGAAGGAGTTAGGGGAGCTGTCCCAGCACCCCCCTGACCGCCCCCTGCAGGCCACTGGGCCTGCACATCCTGGCTACACTCCAGGCGGAGCCCACGCCTGTCACCCACACCCCCATAGATGGCAGCAGGACAGTGGGCCAGCCCCAACTACAGCAGGGCTGCAGTCTGGGCCGGCCAGGGCGCCAGACGGGAAAGGAGTGCCAGCCCCTGTGGCATGGGTAGAGCCCAGAGGTGTCCAGGCCCTGGTGCCCCCCACTCCAGGCCAAGGCAGCACAGACATGGAGGCAGCACGGACATGGAGCCCAGAGTGGCCCTGGGCAAGCAGGGAGGGCAGGGGGAAGAGCAGGGGCTCCCTCTTGTGGGCAGACTGGGAGTGGCCAACAGAAGGAAGGCCGGTTTTGAAGAGTGGCTGCCTATGGGGGAGACCCTGGCTTGTTTTCGAGATTTTTGCTAGAGGGTGCACGTGCACGCCCGAAAGACAGGGAGACAGAAAATGAGAAATCACCCCCCAGGGGTATGGCATGCTATAATCCCTTCTCTAGTTTCCTCCTGGGATTTTGGGCATGTGCCTGGCCTCAGTTTCAAGATGCAGGATCCGAGACTCGAACTGCAGTCCACCATGTAAGAGTCCAGCCATGTAACCATTACACCACCTGCTGGTCCCAGGACCCTGGTCTTAAGGGCTGAGCCTGGACCATTTGGTAAGGCCAATGCAACTGTTTCAACTGCAGATCTGGTCGCCAGAGCCTGGCCTTGAACCCCATCCGTACCTGCTCCCAAGAAGACCACACCCATGAATGCTGGTAGCTAACCTGTGGGGAGTGGGAGACAGCTACGGCTTGCCAGTCCAGTTCCGTCTGGCAGCACCCTCCCCCCCCCGCCCCGCCCCTGCACTGGCTCTGGCCGCGTCCCTGCTCTCTGTACCCTCTGTTGGCTCTCAAGGCGGAGCCCTCCCACACCACTGGGCCTGAGGACTGGGCAGCTCTGGGCTTGGCCCCGCTGCTGACATTTCTACCAGACCAGGTCCAGCTCCACTGGCATCACCATCCCCCGCGGCCATCTCAGCCCTGTCAATGGACTCCATCCCCAAGATGCCCCCTTCCCAACTGCACCAAGCAGACCCTCTCCTGCCATCCCATCTCAGCACTGGCTGGGTGTCACTGCTAAAACCAGGGCTTGAGACCCACCCTTGCCCCCGCTGTGGCAAATGGCTCTGGACCGACCTTCCGCCATCCCTCGAACTGGACCATGAGGCCCCAGAAGCCAGGCCCCAGGCTCTCCGTGAAAGCGTTTGTAGCCTGGACAATAGGGCCCTGTCGTGGGTCACTGTCCACCACAGCCAAAGACACACGGTGTCCTAGGACCCTGACCCTTTATTGACAGCACAGTCCCGGCAGCTGAGTGGCCACGTGAGAGTGGCGGGCAGGCGCTTGCGAGGTGGTGTGGGAGCCTGGCAGGGGCTCTAGGTAGGGGTGCCCTCTGCCAAGGGGACACCAAGGGGCATGGCCATCGCTGGTACGGAGAGCATGTAACACTGGTGGGGTGAGCCCAGGCAGCAGGAGAGTGTGACAGCACCTCAGAGGGGCCCACTGTGGGACATGGGACACACGGAGAAACGCTGGGGCACGGGACTCCCAAGGACACGCACACTGTGGGTCCTGTGACCTTGGAAGCAGGCAGACCCCAAACGGGGTAATGGACAAATGGACAGAAGAGGCCAGAGAGGGAGACGAGAAATGAGTAGAGCCAGCCAGGCAGGACAGTCCGGCAGGGCGGGCAGCCAGCGTCCCAGCAGCCAGGGGGGTTGAGAGGCGTGCTGGCCTACGGCTGGGCTTTGCTGTCCGGGTCACGGTCATAGATGTAGCTGCCCACCGCTCCGGTGTTCACCCCTGCGGAGCGAGAGGGGGCCTTGGTGGTGGGAACAGGGCGTGGTGGGGTGGGCGCCCGCCCCCACCCGCGGCCACACTCACCCTTGGGTCCGAAGAGTATTCCATAGCACGGCTTGTGGCAATAGGGCTGGCCGTCGTGCTGGGGCAAGACGGGGAGAGGGCTGGGGTCCGCCGGCTCCGCCCACCCGAAGGGCCTCCCAGACCCACCCCGCAGTCTCACGCCTTGGCTCCTCCCTGGGAGCCCCGGTGGACGGCCGTGTCTGCTGGCCTCATGGGAGGGGGCACGGCCGCCCCGCGTCTAGCAGCAGCCCGCGCCTGCCTCACCTCCGCGTGCCCGCCGGGCGTCAGCGTCTTCCCGCAGCGCTCGCAGCGCAGGCAGGGCCGGTGCCAGTCCTTGCCCAGGGACGTCACGGTTCCCCGGTGAACGTGGTGACGCTGGAGGCTGCGGGCAGGTAGGTTAGGGCCGCGGGGCGGGGTAGGGCGGCCACACACCCCCTCCCCCAGACGCGCCTGGCCCACCTCTGCTAGGCCCCTTCGGGGGGCCGCTTGCCTTCCGCTCCTCGGTTCGGGCCACTGGGACCTCGATGGGGCCGGTGACCTGGGGCGCCTCGGCTGGGGGCTTCTCGTAGATGTAGGAGCCTGCGCCCCCGATGTTCACGCCTGCGGGGACCGGCAGTCGCCCGCTAGCTATGGGCGCCCTAGCCCACACCCAATCTGCTCAGAGCAGTGCCTTCGCCTCCACAGAGGCCCACGGGCAGGGGCAGAAGCAAGCGCAGGTGCAGGGCGGCCGAAGCTGGGCTGCGCCCGGCCCGGAGGCCCCGAGGTTCGGCCGCGCGGACCCAGGGCACACTCGCCACCCCTCCCCTGGGTCGCAGCTCACCTTTGGGTCCGAACAGCGTGGCATAGCAGGGCTTGTGGCAGAACGGCTTCCCGTCGTGCTAGGCAGAGGGGGGGCGGTAAGAGCCGGCGCCCCGCCGCAGCCCCGGCCTGGGCCCGCGCCCGCTCCCGGGGGGGGG